TTTTAATAAACCACTTGATACAGAGAGTAATATCCCAAAGATTCTAAGAGCAGAAATTTACCAAAGTTCTTCTGTTCATTCATTCCATAAAATGTTGACTGATTGCTGGGTGTCAGATATTGGGGGTACAAAGATGAATAAGAAATATAAAATTCCCAATTCACATTCTTAATTTATATTGACATAAATTAATAGAGCCTTATGGAAAACAGTATGGAGCTTCCTACAAAATTAAAATAGGACTACCATATGATCCAACAATCCCACTACGAGGTATATATTCAAAGGAAATTAAATCAGTATGTCAAAGAGATACCTGTATCCCTATGTTCATTGCAGCACTATTCACAATAACCAAGAAAAGGAAACAATCTCTGTGTCCATTAATGGAAGACTGAGTAAAGAAAATGTGATACATTTATATGCAGAATGGTGTAGTATTCGGTTATAATAAAGAACGAAGTCTTGTTATTTGAACAACATGGATAGAATTACAGATTTTCATACTAAGTGTAATAAGCCAAGTACAAAAAAGACAAGTTCTGCATTATCTCACTTACATATGGAAGCTTAAAAAGGTGAATTAATAGAAGTTGAGATTAGAAGGGTGGTTACCATGGACTAGGTATGGGAATGGGAGATGTTGATCCAAGGATATGAAATTGCAGTTAGATTGAAAGAGTAAGCTCAAGAGATCTATTCTTTGGTGATTATAGTTAATGGCAATGTATCATATTCTTGAAAATTTCTAAGAGTAGGTTTTAAGCGTCCTCACCACAAAAACAGAGATATGTGAAGTCATACACATGTTAATTAGTTTAATTTAGCCATTCTAAAATTGACACATATTTCCAAGCATCATGTAAGCATGATAAATTCATAAAATTTTTGTTTATCAACTGAAACAATAATTAATTTTAGAAGAAATACAAAGCTCCTGTTGAGATGGAACATACCTTACAATTAATTTTAGGATTTTTTATTTTGCTGACCACCAAGATAAATGGAGAGGACAAGCATAAGAATACAGAGAAATTGCTTTAAACAGTATTGGAAAAGAAAATCGAGGTGGTAGGTTGAGTATAGACAAGGCTTTAATAGAAGGAATATTGTGGCAGAAATGTGGGAACCTAGTAACCTAGATGGGGAAAATGAACTTGGAAAGGAAGATACTCCAAATGGGATTTTTTAAAAAAAATATAATTTCCTTAAAGGTATGTGATCTAAACTATCTTTTATGTCTTCTCCAAATATTCTTAAGTAAAACTCATTGATGATCAATGCTTTGGTACACAAGTGAAATAGAAGAGCTGTCGAATTCTGCAGCTAGGTTAGCAATGAGGAGAGCAAGATGCTCCATGCACAGATGCAAAGATGGCATTGTTGGTAGAGGATGTGGTGACAGCTTTCCTGGGGATTTCATGTCCATAATAATGGTGGTCTGCATCTTTTATTTGACACTTACATATGACCATTGTTTTAGTCCATTTCTCATTGCTGTAATGAAATACCCTTTGTAAAGCTCACAGTTTGGGGAGTTAAAAGTCAGAAAAGGAGGGCACTGACTCTAACAAAAGCTGCACGGCAGATGATAGGAGCACATGTGGGAAGAGACATCACATAGTCAATCGGGAAGACAAAGAGGAATTCAGTGGGTGGGCTCACTCATAACAGGAGAGAGCGCTTAAGGATCACATGAGAACTAAATGAATCCTGTCGGAGGGCAGTTTTTCTAATGACTTAAAGACATGCACCCTTAGGTCACCACACTTGGGATCAAGCTTCCAACCCATGAATCTTTGTGGAACTCGCACATATCACATCCAAAACATAGCAACCATGTAGTAGGTCTTCCTAGGATCTTTCTTCCCCCTCCACATATCCCTTTATTATCAATTTAATTTAATTCATTAAATCCTCATCTTTTAAGGAAATCTTGGGTTTTGTTTCTTAATGAAAAAATAAACATTTTATCAAATGTTTTTTTGCTCTGTTTCTTTCCTTTTCCTCCCTCCCTAGTTTTATGTGTCATGGTAAGTTTCCTTCATAGAAAACTGCCTTCCTGTCTTCCATACTGAAACTCCTAATTTCTTAAAATAAATGTATTGTGTGTATTCAAGGTACACATTACGGTGTTATAAAACACAAATAGATAGCAAAGTGATTGTTACAGTGAAGCAAATCAGCATATCCATTATCTCACAGTTACTCATGATTTTTTGTTTGTTTTGTGGCAAAAGCAGCTAAAATTTAGCATTTAGCAAGAATCCCAAGCACAGCATGATTTTACTACCTGTAGTATTCAAGTTGTACATTACCTGTCCAAACTTGGTCATCCTACAAATCTACCTTGTATCCTTGGACCTACCCCTCTCCATTTTCTCCACCACTCCCAACCCCTGGGGGCAAACATTTTATTCTCTATGTTACAGTTTGGATCTTAAATGTCCCCCAGGGTCCATGCATTCAAGTCTTCAGTCAACAGCTTGTGGCGTTATCGGGAGGGCTAGAAACATTAAGAGGTAGGCCTGATAAAAGGAAGTGATGTCATTGGGAGTGTGAACTTGAAGCAGCTCTTGGGTGGCCCCATCCTCTCTGTTTTGTTTCCTGGCCACCAGGAGGTGAACAGCCTTCTCCCCCACAGCACTCCCAGCCATGCTGTTTGCCTCACCACAGGCCCAAAGCCACAGAGCCAAATGACCACGGACTGAAATAAAGCTCTGGAACTATAAGCCATAATAAATTTCTTCTCCTTTTAAGTTGTTTAGCTCAGGTGTTGTCACAGAGATGAAAATCTAACATACTCTGTATGTTGTACTTTTCCTTTTTTAGATTCCACATATGCATGAGATCCTGCAAAAGTTTTTCCTTACTATGTCTCTGTTTTAGTCAGTTCTTTTTGCCACTATGGCTGAAAGACTTGATGAGAACAATTTTAGAGGAAGAAGTTTATTTGTGGGATCACACATTCAGAGGTCTCATAGTCATTCCTCAGGACTCAAGGTGAGGCTGAACACCATGGTGGAAGAGTATGGCAGAGGGAAGTGGCTCACATGATGATCATAAAGCAGAGAGAGACAGTCCACTGGCCAGATACAAAAAATATACCCCAAAGGCATGCCCTCAATGCCTACCTCTTCCAGCCATACCCTATTTGCCTTCAGTTACCACTCAGTTAATCTCATCGGGGGACCAATTCACTAATTGGGTTGTCTCATATCCCAATCATTTCACCTCTCAATGTTCTTGCACTGTCTCACACATGAGCTTTTGGGGGATACCTCATATCTAACCCATTAACAGTCTCCTTTATTTCACTTAGCATAGTGTCTTCCAGTTTCATTCATATTGTGGTAAGCAGTAAAATCTTTTTTAAGGCCAAATAATATTCTATTGTATGTATTCCCCACAGTTTTCTGATCCATTTATCTGGCAACAGATTATTTCTACACCTTGGCAATTGTGAATCATGTTTCAGTGAACATGGGAATGAATGTACATGTCTTTACAAGGTGCTGATTTCATTTTCTTTGGATATATACCCAGAGTAGGGATTTATGGGTCATAAATGGAAGCTTCATTTTTAATTTCTTTGGAAACCTTCATGTTTTCCATAGTGAGTACACCAATCTACATTCCCACCAATAATACCTAGGAAATGGCTTTATTGATCATCAGTCCCCAGGGGTGAGGGCACATGGGCTTCAGGTAGAGACAAAGCATCTGATTTTCTATTTCCCAACTCTTGATTCATGTATCCATTTTCACATTCATTCTATAACCTTATTCATGCACCATGCTGTTGACAAAACGATATTCTCAACCTGGAAACAGTGCACTTGCATTTTCTTCCAACTTCAAGAAACTCTTCTTACCACCAGCCACAGCGCTAACATAATGGTGGCACGATAATGTGTCTGAAGTGGCATGGCAATATTTCTTTCCATGAAATTAAGTCAGACAATGTGACTTACCTGCTCAAAGCCTCCTTATACCTCCCATGGCACTTTAGACCAACAGCCAACTACACCACAGATGATCTGGCCTTGGTACTTTCCAACCTCATTTCCCACCATACCACTGTTGATCACTCCAGCATAATCTTGTTACTTGTAAATGGAGGCCATCTAGCTCTCACCACAGAGCCTTTGCCCTGCCCCCTGCCTGAGACTCTCTCCCACCATTTCATTCATACCCCAGCTCAAATGTCTTCTCATTAAATAGTTTTTTTTTTTTTGAAACCCCATATATAAGACTATTCTCATCATCTCTATCCTCCTAAATGGTTTTTATTCTTCATGGCATTATGCAGTATGTTTCTGTAATTTGTATGTACTATACCTCTTGAAGACAGGGGCTTTTGACTATTTGCTCATTGCTGTATCCCTATCACAATCAAAACACATCCATTTTTGTTGAGAATGAATAAATAAATCCTGGCAATTAGTGGTTAGGGGAGAAACTCAAAAATCATGAGACAAGGCAGATTCTATTCCAGCTAGGTGTGACTGGCACTGGGATCTAAGTCACCCAAGAGCTGCTGGACACACGCGTATGCACAATCTTTGGGAAATAGAGGGGGTTTTGCAGTTCACTCTTGGGTTTCTCTTCTAGTATTTATACCTGAAGGTGGGGTAAAATTGTGTTCAGGCAATTATATGGTCAGATGCTGGGAGCCATTAGCCAAGTAGGTATGACAATTTCCTTGCCAGCGTACCCCATGTTGCTGACATGTTGCAGCGACATTGAATGTAGGTGACCTTGCTCAAGGACCAAGGCAGATTAGGGTGTTCCCGGTTTTAAGATAATCGTGTTTAGGGCGTTCCCAGTTTAGGTTCCAGGTTTAAGGTTTAAGATTATTCCTGCTGGGAATAGGGCGTATCCTGCTGCCTGAGTTCCCCTTGAGTTCTCATCAGGCTCCAAAGCTACACCAGGAATTCAGCCAAAACAGAGTTATACAATCCAAAGTTAGAATAGGATCTAGAAAAGTCCAAAGACAGATCCTTTTTGGTCATTAGCATGATTATTGGGTGTTCACACCATTGTGTGATATGTGCCTCCCTCTAAACTGTTATGATGTCAGCACATAACCCGTCTGAGTAAAAAGGAAAAAAAAAACCCAAAACACAAACTTGGAACTTACAGTCCTTCCCTTTGCCAGTCTAAAATTACCCATTGTTATAAAATGTCAACTATCTGCGCAGTATTTTAATATCTTGTCTTTTTGTGCCCAATAGAGATAACCAGCTTGACATCTTTCTTCATGCATACCTTTAAATGCATTGATAAGTCATAAAAATTATCAAACTTTCATTTGCTTAATCTACCTCTAAGGATTTTAATATGAATTGCTACTTTCAATTTGAAAACAATGATAATGATTTTGTCTTTGGCAAGCACTGAGGCTAGTCCTGCATTACCTGTCCAAACAACAGCTCAAGACTGCCATCTAGGGTAACCAGACTGCTGTGACAGTAATGCTGAACTGAATGAAATTCATAATTCCCACGCTTGACTTTTCTGGGGGTCTGTCATTTTTTATTTTTGCATACTTCTGCATTATTTGAATATGGATTGAATACTCCTTTTATAAATAAAAACGGTTTGCATTTTAAGATAAAATATTAACTAGATCCTAAGTAATATATGACAGTGTCTTGCCTAAAATAAAATGAATTCAAATTTTAGGGCTCTGGTTCTTTACAGTCACACCCTCAAACTACTGAGCTAGTACTATGCAATAAACACCTTTTGAGTTGAGGGAACCCAAACATAATTAATATTTAGTCTCTGCCACTTAAGAATTCACAGCCTAGATGGGAAGACAGACATGTTAGGAAACAGTTGCACTATATGATGAAACCTGCATGAGGTAAACTGCATCACAGGAGAGAACATGAACATGTGAACATTTGTGTGTGTGTGTGTGTGTGTGTGTGTGTGTGTGTGGTGCTGGGGATTGTGCAAGCCTTGTGCATGCTAGGCAAGCACTCTACCAACCAAGAACATTTTTATTTGGAGAAGAAAGGAAGGGTGAGAGGAAGGGCAAGAGAAGGACAAATTCAGTTATAATAAACTTTACTTAAAATTTGTAACTAGAAGTAGGCCAATTAACCCCAAATAACACCTTGAATTAATTAAATTACAATACATTTTAAGGTAAATAAAACTTAAAAAGTAAAATTCAAGAGACCTAAAAAAAGAGGCTTAAGAGTTACCTAGCGTATAGATTACTGCTGCCTGGTTGAAATGAGATACATATGCAATTAATAATTTTATAATGGTCTCCTTCATCAAAGAAAAAAGATGAAATTAATTTTAATAATATATTTGAGTTATATACAAATATTATTTATTTTATCAAAACCAAAGTGAGATGTCAAGGACCTAAAATCACCTAGGAGCTATGAGAATGGATGGAACTGGGTAAATCTGAGTGACATTTAGATGCAAAATAGGCAGGAGTGATGATTAATTGGATGTAAAATCAGAGGAGTGAAAGTGATTTTAAACCCAAATAGGTGCATATTTGAGATATCATTAAGTGATGCATCCATGAAAATAGGGAACATAGATAGAGAACAGACCCGGGGCAAGTGTGAGACTTTGAATCTGGACTCATGAATTGAAGGCTTGATTCATAGCTGGAGACACTATTGGAGGTGGTAGAAACTTTAAGAAGTGGGGTCAGTTGGAGTTAGTAGGTCACTGGAAACATGTGCATGAGGGTATATTAGGACACCCCACCCACCCTGCTCCTTTCTCTCTCTACTTCGCAGCCGCCATAGAGTGAGAAGTTTATTCTGCCATATGCTTCCCACTTTAATGTCCTACCTCCCACAGGCCCAAAGTGACATGGCCAAGCAACCATGGCCTGAAACTTCTGAAACGGTGAGTTTAAAATAATAGTTTCCTCCCTCTGTTGCAGACATTTTGTCACAGTGATAGAAATCTGACCAATACAGCAAGGAATAAAAGCTTGCTTTTAAAAGATGAGTTTGAGGTTCCATGAAACCTGCAACTGATAATATGTTTAAGGGACAGTTAATTTATGGGCCTCATGCTCATGAGAGATTCTACATCAGAGGGGTAGATGGGAGTCATGAATACATATGTAGCTTACCCCACGGGAAATTTTGAGATTGATGAGAGAGAATGAAGAGAGTAAGACAAGTGCTGAGGCAGAGACCAAAAGAAAATTAAAGGTATAAGGATCCTAACCAAAGACCAAGAGGGATCAGAGAGGCACAAGGAAACACAGAAGAATATAATTGTCAACAACCAAAGAACTTCAAGAAGAGGTCAACTAAGTCTAATGCTTCCAGAAAATCAAGCAAAAAAAAAAAAAATACAGTGATGTTTTCATAAAACTTGACAGTAAGGAGGTCATGACTGGCTTTGAAAAGAACAATCTCTACAGAGGGTAAGGACAGAAATCATATTGCAGCAGACTTAAAATTGACAGGGTGGGCTAGGTTGTACTTCAGTGATAGAATGTCTGCCTAGATAGAATTTTTCAATTCCCAGCACCAAAATGAAAAAAAAAAGAAAAGAAAAGATGGGTTAATGTAGATAAATCCTCAAGAAGTTGTTTTTTGTTTTGTTTTTGTTTTGCTTTGTTGTGTTGTTGTTTTTTGGGGTTTTTTTTTGTTTTTTGTTTTTTTTGAGGGAAGACAGCTAAAGTGGTGTCTAGCATGAAAAGGATAATATCTACTGGTATGAGGAAAGGTTTTTATGATGTCAGAAGCTATTGAAAAGGAGCCATAGAAATTCTTCAATAAACAATTTCATTGATCTGAAAAGATGTTAATCGTGTATTAACTAAAAAGAGACATGATTTTAAAAAAAGAGACATGATTGAAAAATTGTTTTATGTAGAAGTATGTACATGTGAACACATAGATAACATTCCGGAAGAACATACACTAAGATATTAACCACATTTATCTCTGAGTAGGTAGACTAACAGAAATTCTTTTTGTTTCTTATTATTTTTATTACTCAGTATTTTTTATTGCAAGAGGCTGTGTTTTATGATACAAAAATGAAAAAAAACTAGAAATTTCATTTTCAGGGAGTCCATCACTTCCACATACTATGGTCTTGAACATGTGTTGAAAATGACTTCATTCCAGTTTGATGAAACATTTGTAAAATTCCTAATCATGATTTTTCCATGAGTCTACAAATGGGAAGAATCCAGGCATCCAGATATCCAGGCTGGAGTAGGAGGCAGCTACTGACTCAGTCAGCCATCCACTGGGCCAAAATGATTCATCTAGGCTTCTAACTTTCCCAATGTGTGGGTCATCTCTCCCCACATCTCTTCAGAAACAAAAGGAGATGAGCAAACTGCCCCCCAGAATCGAAACTTGTTTGACAAGACTTCAAAGTACTCAAAGCCAGGGAAACTACTCTCCTATGCATGACTTATGCACAGAGAGGACCCCTCCTATCCTCCCAGTCAGTAGTGGCAATGGATAGGCAAAGTCACTATATCATAGCCTTAACTCATCTTTCATTATATGTATGAAAAAAGCATAATACTGTGTTAAGAAGGTCACATGGACATATCAGTCCAGAAAGGATGCAGGTGTAGGCTATATAGAAATCAAAATTATTCCAACCAAGGTAGTTGCTATTTTAGTTTTATTGCACTATTTTCCCCTTAAGACTTTCCCTTTTCTCTCTTCCTTCTATTGTCTATATAAAGATATCTTACAGTAGCAGTCAATTACAATACTAGTTTAAGTAATATATGTGGGAGATTTTCTTCTTCACAAAATGGAAAACCTAGTTGCACATGGGCATTTGAAGATCCAAGATAGAGACAAAGAATAAACAGGTTAAGTATTAAAGTTCCAGTTCATTTTTTGTGAGGGGTGGGGAGAATGGTGATAGAATATAGTCTTAAAAAGTTAAAATCTAGAGTATAAAGCTGACCTCAAGTACTCAGTCTTCACCCATGTATTCAAAATTGTAACCTACCCACTAAGATCTCATCATTCACAGGCACATTACACACTAAGTCAGACCCACTTCTAAAGAGAAATGGAGGTCCTGTGTGAGGAGCATGAGTTCTGCCATCAAAGTAAATGAATGACTCAGGCCCTCACCTTGCCAACATAACTGGAAGCTACAGAACTTTTCTATACTGCAATTTCCTCAAGCAGAAAGTAAAGAGAAAATTTATCTGTGATAGTATTAACTAACTAAATATTATTTAGTGTCAAATTGACTGAATTGAAGAATACTCAAATCCGAGCAAAGCATTACTTCTGGGGGTATCCATGCAGGTGTTTCTGAAAGACATTGGCATTTGAGCCACTGGAAGTAGGGAGGATCTACCCTCACTCAATCTGAGTGGACACCATCCAATTGTTTGAGGCTCAGATGAACAAAAAGGCAAATATCCTCTTCTCCCTCCCTCCCCCTGTCTCACTGGGACAGTTCTCTTCTCAAGCCCTTGGACATCAAAACTCCATGTTCACCAGTCTTTGAAATCAAAGACCTACACCTGCACTATCTTCAACAGCCATAGGTTCTCATGCCTTTGGTCTTAGAGTAAGAAGTTAGACCAGCAACTTCTCTGGTTCTGAGGCCTTTGGACTTGGCCTGAGCCACACTACTGACTTCCTTAGTTCTCTGGCTTACAGACAGTCCATCATGACACTTCTCAGCCTCTATAGTCATGTGAGCCAATTCCCCAAATGTATCTATCTCATATAGTTCACTCTGTATATCCTTTGGGTCCTGCCTCTCTGCAGAACCCTGAATAACACAAGGTTCTACTTCAGGGTAGAAAAGATTATTTTAGGTAATATATTAAAGCATTCAGGATAATACTTGGCATGGTAATTACCAGTTCTGGTTAAATGATGGCTATTAGACATTCTTACATAATTACTTCTAAAAGGAAGTAAATCTAAAGAGTCACACCAATGACTTTTATTTAAGATGAATTGCAAGGTTGTCATGGAAGAAGAGTTGGTGAAGATGTGTGGGTAGCTCTTTAAAAATCTTCGTTTGCATTTTCCGAAATTACTTTACTCTATTAAAATACCTTTTATTCCCATGAAAAGGCAAGAAAGCAGATTACACTCCAGCAAGATGCCAGAAGCAGTTGGAGGGTGACGCAAGTCGTCTTGAGGAGCCCCATTCCAACCGCCCACCTCTGTCACTCAGCATCTGGGATGCCCTTTTGCAGCTGCCATCCTGCCCTCCTGGAATGGTGAACTGGGCCCAAAACAACCAGTGGCGCCCGTCATCACAACATAAAAATAAAGAACTACTCCGGCCCTTTTTCAACCAGAGAGGCCATGGATACCTCTCGGGGTTCTTCCTTGGCTGAGCTCCTTCCTTCTTCCACCTTCTTGCGGGATCTTATCTCCATCCTCAGACATTCTCTCTCATTTCTTTCCTTTCTGCTCTCAGGTCCCTGAAAGAGAAGGGTCAGGAAAGGGGAGAAATGCACCAGAAGCTCTGTGCCTCCCATTGCTCCCAACCACCAGACATGAGGAAAGCCCTGCCCTGTAGCCAATGTCCAGTTCTTAGTTTCTAGTAATAAATCAGCATAACCCCAAATCATCATATTGCCAAAGGTTTTAGTCATAAAGAGAAGGAATACAGGGTCCTGGGCATCACTGCTGGTCTGAGAAGGATGCCAACCTGCACATGACCATGACTCTTGTGCTCTAACATACCAAAGCTAAAGAACGTACAGTACAGTTAAATTAAGTCTCCTGGCGTTTTTGGATAAGGAAAACAAGATCACATATGGAATGATTCTAACTTCCCTGTGTTCATTACCTTATATTAATATTAGAGTTTGCACTAAATTTTAATGTGAGAACTGTGTGAAAAAACGAAGTATTGAGAAATAACTTCCAACCATGTTAGCATTCCCCAGTAAGTTGCCCAAGTGGGATAGGTGGAGGCCAGGGGCGCGTGGTCCACATTTATTCACTGATTTATTGAACACACAGTGTTGTTGTAAGATTAGGAGATAAAGTACTAAATGAAGAGACTTTACCTTCTAGATATTCCACCTGGGGGAGGGGGGGGGAGATAGACCATCAGTAAATAAGGCTAAAAGGAAGTAAACAATGATGATAAATAAAATTGTAACTACAACAGGTGACGGTGATATATAGTAGGGAACTATGAAGAAGGGGAGATTCTTTTTTAAAAAAGTTTTAGTTGTAGATAGACACAATACCTCTATTATTTTCTTCATTATTTTTATGTGGTGCTGAGGATTGAACCCAGTGCCCAACATGTGCTAGACAAGTGCTTTACCACTAAGCTACAACCCTAGCCCCAAGAAGGGGAGATTCTTCAGTGTTGATGGTCAGGGAATTTCTTTGAAAGGAATTACTGTGCAAAAATAACATGCATAAACATGGTAATGGTATCTATGTATGCTTCTATTTTTTAAAAAATAAACAGATAAAATCCCTTCTCCTCCCCCTTATTTGAACTGTAAACATTAGGGATCCAGTGATGAGTGGTGGTCATGTGGCAGAACTCAGCCCTACAAGCTGAACATTGTGGAGGTGTTTTATTACCACAATAGTGTCTGCTACTCCATGGTGTAAACTGTTTCTTATACCTAGATTGTCTCATTCCATCCATAACCATTCATTGATTGAAGTCAGAAAGCAAAACAAAGACGCTTAGATAGAAGTTAAAAGAAACTTTAAAAACTGTACTAGTTCTGTACATGTGCTGCCAGATGATTTTCATAGACCCATCACTTGTATTTATCTGATCAAAATTCATGTTTAGCAGTTATAAATGTTTCTAATGCTGGTCAGAACAGTACAAAAAACAGTATAGTGAATATTGTTTCAAATTTGGTCTTTACCTTATTAAGAATAAACACTATGCAAGATATACTTATTAATAATGATTTGAAATTTACTTCCTCATTTCATCACTTAGAAAATCAGAAAGTTATAAGAAAAATAAGTCAATTGAATTTCTAAATACTGAGGTGAAAGAATTAATATTGTTTGTCATGATTAGGCCACAACAGCAGTTTCTGGCTCTTTCAATGTTCAAATATGTGAAATTTAAACCAACACATTAGTATTCATTTGGTCCCCAAACAAAAAATGATACAGCCAATCTTCCCTACCTGTGGGGCTAATATCTGTGGATTCAACCAACTGAGGATGAAAAATAACCAGGAAACAAAATGGTGTTTGTACTGAATATACAATATACACCTTCTTTTTCTTGTCATTATTCCCTAATCAATATACTATAATAACTATTTATCTATTGTTTACATTGTATAAAGTATTATAAGAAAATTAGAGATAATTTAAAAGTAAATGGGAAAATGTAAAATATATGAATGTAAAGTGTATGGAGGTTATATGCAAATAATACTCCATGTTGCATAAGGGACTTTAACATTCATAAATTTTGGTACCCTTTGTGTGGGATGCTAGAGATAATACCTTAGGGAATACTTTATATACATTTTAAAATTTGCTGACAAAACCCACTGTTTATTGTAGCTAGCTTTAGAAAAGTGTGTAGATTGTTACAGTGGAAAATTTTTTAAAAAATCTACGTTTTGAATTTTTAATTTTACATTACAAAAATTTTATAATATGCTCCTTAAAATTGACATAAAATAAAATGTTTTAGATTAGTTGTAATAAACTCAGTGTTGTTTTCATTGATCTTATTACCAAGCTGTAAATGGAGAAGTTAAATTTGTGCTCCTCAAACTTGAGGATGACAAAACCTCTGGGTTTTCTTTCCCAAGGGGCTTAAATGTGTACTAGCTCAGTTACATACCAGAGAGACAGAGTGTTTGGTTTTAAAGCACAGTTGCTGTTCAAAGGACTCTGAAAACTCCTGAATTTTGGAATGAGAGCTCCCTTTTGATTCCAGTGACTCCTTGAGTGACCCATCCACTGAGCATTTCCTGTAATATCGCATGTGAGCACAGTTTCGGAATTCCTGATCCTCATGAGAATGCCTTCGAGGTTGGTGGTCACATGATGTCATTCTGGGAAGCATAGGAAACTGGGGATATAAAATTAAAATTTTTGTAACATAAAGAGAATATACGATATTAGCACAGACACAAGATGCCCATAAACTACTAATAAACATTTCTAATATTTAACTGAAATTTTATCTTCTTGATCGCATTAGATGGCATTAGAGCAGATTATGCTAAGTGAAGCTAGCCAATCCCTAAAAAACAAATGCCAAATGTCTTCTTTGATATAAGGAGGGCAACTAAGAACAGAGCAGGGAGGAAGAGCATGAGAAGAAGATTACCATTAAACAGGGATGAGAGGTGGGAGGGAAAGGGAGAGAGAAGGGAAATTGAATGGAAATAGAAGGAGACCCTCATTGTTATACAAAATTACATATAAGAGGAAGTGAGGGGAAAGGGAAAAAAACAAGAGAGAGAAAAATTACAGTAGATGGGGTAGAGAGAGAAGATGGGAGGGGAGGAGAGGGGGGATAGTAGAGGATAGGAAAGGCAGCAGAATACAACAGACACTAGTATGGCAGTATGTAAAAACGTAGATGTGTAACCGATGTGATTCTGCAATCTGTATATGGGGTATAAATGGGAGTTCATAACCCACTTGAATCAACTGTATGAAATATGATATGTCAAGAGCTTTGTAATGTTTTGAACAACTAATAATAAAAAAAGAGTTTCAGAAAAAAAAAAGATTTTTCTCTACAATGAAGGAGCAGAATCCATTGGTTAAAATATTAAATAGAACATCCAAGGAACAGTTTAATTGCTTGCTACTCATCTACCAATGATTTTTAAACATTTCTAGTTAAACCATAAACATTTGAGAAATAGCATAAAGATTAATATTTATGTAATTTCTAAGTAAAAGTATAATGGGAGAGTCATAAGAAAAATATAATTTATATTAAAAAGCTAATGTGCACCAAAAGCAATATAAAATTAAGCTTTAGACAAAAACTAAAAAACAATAGCTACATATTATTGTTTAATAAATATCTTGCACATAAGTACATCTCGTTTACATACAGACATAGAGATAAAATAACACAATAACAACAATGTTAAAATCACAATTGGAAAAGCAGCAGAACATTGAAAGTTCCTATGTAACTTTTGCACCAAGATATTGGTCTTCAAATTGCCATATGCTGTACACTTTTTGGTCTTAATTATTGACTGGTGTTCAACTTAGTTGCCTGCAGGGGTCACTGGAAACACTCTTTCCTTGCTTTCTATCACTGCACCCTCTGGTTTTCCCTTTGATCTTTTTGCTACAGTGATTTAAACATTTTTGTTTACTTCTTCCTTCTCCAAGTATAATAAAAAATTTATACATTCAGGAATGAGTAAAAGGCTTTTAATCTGGAATGCACAGCATGGCAAGCCAAAGGTGTAACCAAAGAGGAAAAGATAAGAAAATATTTTACTGGCAAAAAGGGAAAAAAATCATGTAAGCTGCTCAGATACAAAGTCTATTGGTCTTCTTTCTAGACCAGTGGCAGGAGCTGAAGTCTTATTGGTAGAGATACCATTGCGGGGAAAGCATCTTGTCTGAATTGTAGTCTAAGAGAATGTTAAAGATTAAACTCTGTTACAGAAATGTGTGTCTGTGTGTGAGCTATGTCAAGCATGTTGTGTATGGAGGTTTTCTGGTGTTTTGTTTTTTTGCTTTTTTTTCCTGAAGAAGTCCTTGAAATAGTTCTTATCTCAGACAGGCTGAGCGAGCATGAGCTCCCAGCTTTCCCAGCTCTGAATTTTGTCCAGGTGTGACAGAGGAACTTCGTCTTGGATCAACAATTTTCATAGAGATTAGAAAGGTGAGGGGGTGATGGTATATGAAGCTGCAGCAGGGAGGACTGCCCATGTTAGTGCCTGTGCTGGGCAGTAGAGTGGATGCACTGACTAAAGACCAGGGAGGCCATGCCATTGAAAGGGTGAGGTGGTGCAAAATGAGGTACAAAATGAAAAAGTGACCAGGTATGAGTCTGGGAGGAAGGCAAGCCATGGGTGCATTGAGACAAAAATAAGGAGGAAGTAAACAAGCCATCCAGCCAGCTCTCTGGTCCTAGCTCTCTGGTGCTTCTTCTTACAAGACCACCAATCCCATCAGATCAGGACCCAACCCTCATAATTTCATCTAACCTTAATTATCTCCCAAAGGCCCCATCTCTAATACCATCCATTGAGGATTAAGCTTCAACATGTTAATCTGGGAATCATGTACCAAACGGCAACCTTCAATAGAAAATCACCAATTATCTTCCCATTGTAATATGAGAAACATTAAAGACAGTTAAGGCCATGAGGTTGGATAGGAGGAGTAACTTATAGTGTTTCAGTAGCACAGTAGGGTAACTATTTTTGACAACAATCAATTGTATATTTCAAAATAGCTGGTAGAGAGGATCTTTAATGTTCCTAACACAATGAAATTATAAATGTTTGAGGGACTGTGTATGCCAATTAATCTTATATGATCATCATACATTGTATACATGTATTAAAATATCACACTCTACTCCATAAATTCATACAAATTTTTCTTCATGGTGCTACAAATTGAATCCAGGACCTCATACATGTTGATATACTCTACCACTGAACTATACTCCCAAATGGTACAATTATTAGGTCAATTAAAATAAAAAATTATTTTAAAAACAATAATAAGGGAAAGGTGAAATTAAAAACTCTAGAACTTTTGGCAGTAATTAACTAAAAGCATCTAGAAAAAAAACTTTCCAAGTTTAAACATCACTGACTAATAATAATAATAGGTACTTACTAGGTAGTAGGCACTGACCTAAGCACTGAACATACATTACTCATTGGATCTTCACAACAATCTAAGGAGGTGCTTGCTATTATCATCAATCCCACTTAAATATGGTATATTTGAGGCAGAGAGAAGTTAAGCAATTTGCTCAGAGTCAGGGTACTAATACATGAAAAATGCAGGAGGAAGCTCCACAGTCCTGCTCTTAACTCCTTCATTGTTCTATGATAGCTCCTCCACATTAGCACCTTGTTAAAAAAAAAAAAAAGTACACAGAACATTAAGCTAAAAGTTCCCCCAGAGAAATATCACTGAAATCCTATTGTTAATTAAGGATTCCGGTAGTGCTTTGTCAAAATTAAACACAAATATCCAGGTGCAGTGGTGCATGCCTGTAGTCCCAGATACTCAGGAGGCTGAGGTGAGAATACGTGAGCCAAGGAGTTCAAGGTTAGCCTAGGCAACATAGGAAGACTCTGTCTTTTAAAAGCAAAAAGTTAAATACAAGTCTAATCTGGAATACAAGAAGCCATTTACTATCAATTATAAAATGCTATAGTATACCTTTTCTCTCCAGGTTTGTGACAAAACCTTTAAAGGAGCCAAGCCCCAACTCATCCCTATAGCAAACAACTGCAAGAGAACCACCCCTATAGTGACATACTGCTGTAGAAATGATAGTGTGTAGCTGGCTTAGGTCAATCAGGGATAAACATTAAAATTATCTTTCACAGCTTTAAATTTAAATAAATGATATGGAAATTTTTACTTCAGTTTTATATTTCTGTGATAATGGACAGGGAAGGCAGATATATTCAATAGCCAAGAGAGATTTCACCTTTTTTTCCACCAAAGACAACAGGACAGAAAAAGCAAGATTTCTTTATTTGCTTTAAACGAACAATCACAGGTTATAATGGGTTTGGACAAAAAGCAATGTTCTATGAGAAGAACTAAACTTTAATTCCTTGTTATACTTCATCCTGCCAATCTGTATATTATACTAGACCAAAAATTTACACAGGCATGGGGATCATGTATGTCTTCTTTTACCCTGTCATCCGATTGTGTCTGGCACATAGTGAGGGCTCAATAAATATGTTATATGAATTAATGCTGATCATAAGACTGATAAGACACATTAGAAAGCACATGCAAAACAGGAAAGAAAGGAGAAGCTCTTTGTTTCCTATAAATGTGATATTAATAGGTAAATATCAATAGATTAATATTTAGAAAGGAAATGGCCTTAGATTGGAGCAATTAAGAGAGAAGAAAAATAAGGGTAACAGTAACTCTTTTAAAGTTATTTTCATTGAGCTCAAAGTAAAACACAAAAAATTGAAAAACTGAATTTTTTCAGATCTCCAAAATAAGAAAAATTTTAGTACATTTAGAGGTATGAAAAGTTAGTATCCAATACAGATTCAATTTACAAATGTATAGGATTATGTAGATAGGGAAAGAAGAATCAGATTCCCTGTTTTCCAGGACTTTGTGTATAACTCCTCGGCATCCTTTTATTTATGTTTATGCTTCTATGTTCTCTTTTCTATTTAGTCAGATTATAATTTTTATCCCATATTTTGTCTCCATAAGTGAATGCATGTGTGTTAGACTGATCATTATAAAATTCATTGTTGACTCAGATGCTCTAAACCTATTAATTCAGGTACTCTTAACCTATTGATTCAGATAAATAATATTTAATGGATGCTTCAGAAACATTATACAAATAAAATCTGCTATTTCCCAAGAGCATAAAGGCAAATAATATTGCAAACTAAAAGTGAATTCTCTAAATAGGGTGTATTATCTAAGTCAAAATTTGAGAGGTGCTAAAGTTTATTCAAAAAACTATATTTTGTAAACCATATTTTTTCCTTTGTTTTCATTTTTCCTGTGGCTATAGGCACTGTTGTGATAAAGAGTAAATCAAAATATTTCCCTTTACTTATGCTTGTTCTCACATCTAGAAACCGGAGTGTCTCCATACTCCTGTTATCATACATTATGGACACCTTGTTAGGTGTGGAACATTAATTATATTTAGATTAAATGAGAGCATGATAAGCAGGTCTATTTTTTTTTTTTAATATTTGTTTAGTTGTAGATGAAGGTCTATTGTTTAAAACAGAATGAGGGAAAGTTAAAGCTGGAAGGTTTCTCCGAGCGCACCCTGTTAAATATTCTTCACTTAAGGAAACAGAAGCACCAAGAAGTACTGTGAAATATTTGGTCTTAAAAAGGTCTCATTTTCCAAGTTGCTGACCAATGGCACTAAAAGAGGTTCCCATGCACATATTAATATAATTCACAGTCATTATGCATCTTGGAACCCTAAAACTAAAAATTAAATCAAGTAAATTTACCCCTAAGCTTTCTGGTTTGGGAGTTGGCAGAAACGGGGGTTAGAAAGCAGTGTCTGGAGCTGAAATTCTAAGTGACTTGGAAAGAGAGAAGCCATTTTACTGCTGTGTGACAGTGAAGCAGAGGACATGTATGTCTACTGTGGAGTCTTCCAGCACCACAGTAGGCAGACATAAACACTCTGATACCTGTTTTGAGCCCACACCTGGCAAGGCCACCCACTTTCCTCACCACAGCTTTCTGCTAACCCTTCATTCACCAGACACCTGGTGCTCTGCCTAGCCCTGGGAAAACAGGGCTGAGGACTGGGGAGTTGGGGTTCCTGCTCTTGTCAGAAAACCAAATGGAAACACCAGAAAAAGTATATCACATATATCAATAGTAGTGATTTGTTACATGGAATCCCTAACTCCTCAGAGGTCTTGGCACCAATAGGGGAATTATTTTCAGTATTTCAAAGTGACTAGTAGAAATTACACATTGATTGACAGTGTTACACAGACTAATTATAACATCAAGTTTCTTTTCTTTTGCCTTGAATTCTGCCATGCTGTGGGATTATGCCAGGCTTACAGGAGCTCTGAAGAGCAGTGAAAGATATTTTAGATTACTAAGATTAAGGAAATCATTACCAATAGATAAAAATCAGGTCACTTAAAGAACAAGATGAAATGATAAAAAGGATTTTTGTGGGTATGAATAAAGATTCAAAAAATTCTCTAAGAGAAATCCCCTCCCCATTCCACCTCTCCCTTGGTTCTATGATAACAACTCACTGGGCAGGGCAGGGAGGTTTTCCTGTAACTGGCGTCTTGTGGTCGGTGGTGTTCCCGGGGTCCTCTCTCATCCTCCTCTCTCCAGCTGTGACCCCAGAAGCTGCTCATCCATTTGGCAAAAGATACATCATCATCATCATCATCTTTGTGCTCCATTTAAAGGTGATTCAAAACATTGAAGTCCTGTTCCTAAGTCTAACAGAGAGAAATATCACCTAACAGGGCTGACTTGAAACCCAGGATTCTCCCCGAAAAGACAAAACGAAGCTGATATTTTTAAATGGTCTCTGATAATGGCATCCTTAAAGGAGAAAGGTTTACTAACAACCACTTCATCATCAGGCAGCCTTGGGCAATGTCTATTTATAAATTGTGCAGCCCACACTACCCTCCCCCCTTTTTAAATTGAGAGGCTTTTAATCCTCCCATTGCTGGGGCTTGTGCCTCACAGCCTAAGGGTAGAAAGCACAGTCCACTGCCTGGTTTTCCCTGTGCTTTGCTGCCAATGGCATGTGATGGCATCTCCAGCTGTCAATGATGATGAAGCATGACTCTCATAATATGTCAGGCCAGCACTGAAATAAGGCCACATTTAAAGGACAGACTGACAGCAGCTTGCAAGATAGCCAGCTGTTGGCAACCCGTTTCTAGATCTGGATACTCTCCTAATAAATCAAATACATATTAACAGGAAATCTAGCTCTTGTGTCAAGGCAAGCAGTTTGTACTGAAGTATTATATATGTGTGTGTACCAATATAAATAATATACATGTAAAATGTACAAATCTGAAGTACACCACTTGGGTGAATTTTTACTATGTATACCCTGTATTACCAACCATGACACAGGTTAAGACAGAACATTCCCAGTTCCCCATCAGGCTCCCTTTGTCCCATTTCCAATCCATATTCCCTTTAAAAGGTTACTACTCCTGACATCCACTCCCTTAGATTAATCTGGCTATACTTGAACTTTCTTTCAGTGGCACCGTACATTATTATTTTTTGTGTGTCATCCAACATTATATATGTGAGATTTGTCCACATTTTTTCAGTTACAGTACTTCATGTGGCATAGTAATGAATTGCATGAATATCCCACAATTTTTTTTACTCAGTAATGTATGGTCATTTAGGGCTGTAACATGGGTCATTTCCAGTAAGGGCTATTATATTTAAAAAGCTTCTGTGAACTTATCTTCCCTGTTTTCAGTCATTTTTTTCAAGGTAAGGAGGATATTAAATTTATGGAGCCTCTACTGTGTTGCATATGGAGCAGAGTATCTTACAAATGCTGTGTTCTTTATAACAGCACTGGGAGATATTGAGGAGTAAACTGATCAAATTATGTTCTATGCATGTACAAATATGCCACAATGAAACCCACTATTCTGTACTAGTATTTTGCACCAAAATAAAATAAAAAACCTGTCACTGGGAGATTTGTGTCACATTTTATAGATGAAGAATTTGAGATTTAAGTAGTTTATCACTTGCCCAAGGTGAAATTGTTGCTAAGCAGCACAGTCAGGTTTGAAGCAAGTCTCTCTACCATTCTGCCAGTATTCCACAGACCTTGGAGAAATCTTGCATTTTCATAAGGAGATTCTTGGTGATTTGTCAAATAAAAATCCTTTCTGGAGCTAAAAAAGAAAAGATAAGCTTGATAACTATGCACTAGTCCTAGAGCATGGTACCATGATTTATACTTACATAAAAAATAAAATAATCAAAGCCTAAAATGGCTTGCAAAATTTTTACTTCTTGATTTAAAAGAGATTCATGCTTGCTGTTTTGTAATATTTTTATAATAATTGGAGGAAGGCTGTTTCTCAATGACTCAGGAAAAATTATAACTGTATGTCATTGCTATTGGCTGTCTTTGTTATTAAAAAAAGACATAAGATAACTCCCCTTGGATTTTATTCCCCAGTTCTTCCCCTCTCTCTCCTGCCCTCCTTCCCCTTTTCTCCCCTACCTCTCCTCTACTGACTTTCAAAGGCATACTGTATTAGTCAGAGTCTTTCAGAAAAACAGAATCAATAGGAGTCAGGGTTCTCCAGAGAAACTGAATCAATATATTGACTCCCTTTGGGCATTCCTTCTAAAAACAAGGATTCAAGTGAATTATTTGAACTGAAAAGGAAATTCTCAGGTCAGAGAGTTCCAACACACATACACATACACATATGAGGGACAAGGAATGAATAAGAGGAATTGATTCATGCAATTATGGAATTTGAGATATCCCAAGATTTGCCACTTGCAACCTGAGGGACCAAAACAGGTGTTGATATAGTTCAATCTGAATCCAAAGCTATGTCAACCAGGGAAGCCAATTGTGTAAATCCAAATCAAATACCAGGAGAAAATGAGATTAAATGTCCCAACTCAAGCAATGAAGCAAACAATTTGTTCAATTCAAGCTCTCAGAGTAGGATGATGCTTACTCACACTGGGGACAGCAACCCATATTTCTGAGTTCACCAATTCAACTGATGACCTCATCATCATCTTCCCAGACATACCCAGAAATGATGTTTAATTTAATCTGGACATCCCATGGCCACACTAACACATAACATTAACATCACAGCTACTAATCCATTCTTGAGAATTCTATCTCAATTTGTGTTTCTCTCAAGTTGGAGGAGAGCACATCCCAAGGATGTGAGGTCACTCCAATCACCTCTGATAGATGGGTCTCTTGACTCCTTCTCAGGGTTGTCTCATGAGTTTTAATTTGTGTTCAGTTTTCCAGATTATTTGAAATTTTCAACATTAGATTGAGAGCCTGACCAATTTGCTCACTCTGTTTAGTTAGGCAGTTGATTATTAAATGCAGCTGTCCCCAGACAGAGATTAATCTTTTCCAGGCAGTTTTCTGGATAAATGACCAGAAAAAAGGGGGTGGAGATTTTCTAAGCACATTCTGAACATTTTTGAAAATTCAGAATTTTGTCCTAACAAACTCCTGAACATGATGTGTATGTATGTCTCTGTGTGTGTGTGTATATGATATATACATGATATATGTGTCTGTGTAAATTGCTTTGTTCCCTTTGTACCCAACCCATCCTAATAAAAGATCAAGATGAAAATAAAAAAAGATTAAGAAAAAAATGTAAAAGATTGATTTCAAAATGAAACACACTGATTTCATAATAATAGGAAAAACTAAACAACAACAACAAAAAAAAACAGTGCCTGGGGACATGCAGTGGAAGGAAGGCATTCATGATGTACTTTTCTTTTTTTAATATTTTTTAGATGTATGGACCTTTATTTTATTCATATGTGGTTCTGAGAATCGAACCCAGTGCCTCACACATACTAGGCAAGTGCTCTACCACTGAGCCACAACCTCAGACCATCATGATGTGCTTTTCATGACTACTCTTGAACACCAAGATGCTGTGAGGTCTGGTCTCTAAACTGATGGTTGTGTCTATGATCATACCTAACAGAGCTGACTATGAGACAGCAGGGGTGTCCCCTACACTTGCTCAGAATACTCCCAGATTTTGTTCACAGTCATGAGGCAAATAAAATGATGTCATAGACAAGCAAAATTTATAATAACTGACTGCCTTTGGATAGTCCTTCTAAAACCAAGGACTCAACTGGACTGCATGAACCATAGAGAAAGCCCTCAGACAAAACGCCCCACAGTGGGAAGCCACATTGGGACCCTATTAACTTGCATTGTTAGACTAACATGGGTCCTCACAGGTGACTTAACTGCAAACTGTTTCTAAGTAAACTGTCTGGGATTGTACCCTTCAGTGTGCACTTAGATTATCATGGACTGCCTGGGCCCTAAAAGGCATGCAGGTCAGCTTTAACTCACTAAACAGGGTTATGATGGGCTTGAATTGCTACCTTGTCAGGTTAAAAAAGGTTAATACAAAAACTTCAGGAGAAACCCAGATGACATTCTAAGATTGGCCTTTACAGTTAATGGGACTTATTCTAATTGGCTAAATCCAGGACTCATAGATTTCAAATGAAGTTAATACTGCAGATAGTTTTCACTCTGTAACTTGGGGTCCTACTGATAATAATTTTGCTATAAAATGTCCTGGCCAAGAGAATAGACTATATAAAAAAAAAAAGTTGGGGGGGGGGATTTCAATAATAAGCCCAAAACTGCCTGTCTTTAGAAAGGATTACTTGTAAAGTTGGCCTTTTGTGGCATCTAGGAACTCAGAGGGTAGTTTCAGCAATGATATTAAACTTTCCCTGAATTAAGAGTGATCTAAACTGTTTGTAAGACCAAAATGATTTATGCTATGTGTTAGTCAATTTTCCATTGCTGTGACAAAATATCTGAGATAAATGGAGAAAAGATCTACTTGAGCCCATAGTTTGAAACGTTAAATCCCACAGTTAGAGAGGTTAAAGGAGTTCAAATTTTCTCACCCCATGTCATCTGCAAAGCAAAGAGAGGGTGAAGAGGAGGGGCCGGATCCCAATACCCCCTTCAAGGGTCCACCTCCAATGATCTAACTTCATTCCATTAGACTCTACCTCCTAAAATTTATACCACTTTCAAATAACTCCACAGGCTTGCAACCAAGTCTTTAACACATGACCTTTCGGGGACTTTTAAGATTCAAGTCATAACATGTTGAAAAACTGGTTTTCTTCCAAGAGTTCAGAGTTTCAGTACTAGCCAGGCAGAGTGTACTTCCATGACCAGCAGCCAATAAAAATTTTAGTTATTGAGTATCTACTAAGACTTCCTGGCAAAAACTTTCCTTGTGCATGTTGTCAGAACTCATTATTGCAAGAATTAAGCATGTCCTATGTGACTCTACTGGAAAGGGACTCTTGGAAGTTTTAGCCAGGGTTCCTCCAGACTCTGCCCATGCATCTTTCCTATTTACTAATTTTGCTTTGTATCCTTTCACTGTAATAAATCTTAGCCATGAGTACAATTATAAGCTGGGCCCTATGAATCCTTTCATTGAGTCACCAAATCTAAAGTTAGTATTAGAAACCCCCTAAAACAAGAAGGAAGGGGAAGTCATTAAATCTTTGACCAATAATTTTATCAAAGCAACAAGATAAAAATTGACCCCAGAAAGAAAAAGGATTTTGATAACAGAATAGAAAATTAGACTGTCAATTTCATTTGTTTCTGAGTTAAGCCCATTTTATTAACACCATGAAAGAAAGATGATTCTCCCACCCCTTTCCTGGGCTAAGGTTTTTATAATAATCATAAAACATCGAAGGGGCTGCAACAGCATGTGTCAAGTCTCAACATTGTTAGAATAGCTTTTCTGGCCTATACTGGAAGCCCTGGAATGAAAGAGACCCTACTCCACACTTGAAGCCCAACCATCTGCTTTCCCTAATGGATCCCTGGACACCCTTGGAGGAGATGTGGCCAGCGGCACAGGACCAAAGAGAGCTTCCCTTTTGACTCTGGTACTGATGGAGAGAAACACACAAAGGCTAATGAAATGGAATGAACAATCTACAAACAGACACACACACACACACACACACACAACTGAACTTAGAAAAGATGCAAAACATTCAAGAGAGGAAAGATGGCATTTTGAAAAATGGTGCTTGAGCAATTGGACATTCATAATTTAAAAACTGAAACTTGATCTATGTTCCATATTTCATTTTTAAAAATTAACTCAAAATAAACCACAGACTTAAAGGAAACTGTAAAACTATAAAAAAATAGGAAAAAACATACAGAAAATCTTTGAGATCAAAAATTAAGCCAAGAGGTCTAAAGCTTGAAACCAAAGTATAATCCATAAAAGGAAAAGTCAACAAATTGTGTCTCATTGAATTTAAAACTTTCTCTGTGAAATATCCTGATAAGGGGATGAAAAGACAAGATAAAGACTTGGAAAATATCTACAAACCACGTATACAACAATTGAGTAGAGTTTAGAAATATATAAAAAACTCTCAAAGTTCAATATTAAAAGAACAAAAAACAAACAATTCATTTAGAAAATGAGCAAAAGACCTGAAAGACATTTCTCTGAGAAAGATATACAAATGGAAGATAAGTACATGAACAGATTTTCAAAGTCATTAGTCATAAGGTAAAGGAAAGTTAAAACCACAGTATGATAACACTTCCAAAACGATCAAAATGATATGTTTTTAAAAAGTGTTAACACCAAGTGCTGAACAGGAAATAAGAATCTAGGGCACTCATATATTGTTAGTGGAAATGAAAAATGTTATAACCACTTTGGAAAATAGTTTTCCAATTTCTTCTAAAATTAAAAATACATCTACCATATGACCCAGAAATTGCACTTGGGCATTTATACTAGAGAAATGAAAACATACATTCATTAATAAAAACCTGCTCATAAATGTAGAGGCTTGCTGGTCACAGTGACACATGCCTGTAATCCCAGCAGTTTGGGAGGCTGAAACAGGAGGATCACAAGCCAGCCTTGGCAATTTAGTAAGGCCCTAAGCAACTTAGCGAATGCCTTTCTCAAAATAAAAAATATAAGGGGATAGGGATGTGGCTAGTCCCTGGGTTCAATCCCCAGTACCAAATAATAAAGAGAGAGAGAGAGAGAGGATTATGCTAATGAAAGTTCACATCTCAAAAGAAATTTAATAATTATATAAATAAAAATATAATTTT